ATCCCCAATTTATCTAAAAAAGGGGTATGGTTATAACTCTAAAAACTATTAAACATAAGAGCTTCCGATTTCTTTTGCTGTTCAGCTCTGATGAGGGGCTTTCCATCAGAGACCACCCCCCCCAGAAAAAAGACCCCCACCCAAACCACTACAATTTTGGGATGCATGGCATTTATTAGGAATAAAGACTTCTGAGCTCTGGTGCATTTGTGCGTGCGGGTGTCATTATGTTACCGCTATGCGGTATCTAGTTTCAATGCCAAGCTGTAACATGACAACGTTGGAAAAAAGCCAAAAAAGTGACTAATTGTTGGCATAGCTCATGCTTTCATAAGAAATTGGGATTTATTAGGATTTATTATAAATGGTTTATTTGAAAGAAAAAACTAAAGGGATAATCTTATTGTGTTACTTCAGGGATTTGCTGTGYATTTGTGCATCATTCCAAAATTGTACTATTTGAAACATATTGTTAGATTGAAAAAAACATAAATGGCTTTAAACACTATTATTTGACAATGTACTGTGTGCAGTAAAATAAACTCCTGTTGAGTAGGAATGGCAGATTTAAAAATTACCCAACTTGAGCCACAAACTCGTCAGACAATGAGACAACTGTACATGGTCAGACTTCACTTAAGTGATTTTTATTTTTTTGGTTGGGGGGTGTGGGGGTTGACCTTTCAAGTGGTTGTTTTGTTAATTTCACAGCCAGCTGTAGCTAAATGATAAGCAGCCCAGTTGTCTTGTGCAGATCTGAAGTAAATGCAACCATTCCCATAATTACTGATGTCATTATTGATTTGAGACAGCTTAGCAATCTTACATCAGTGCTTATGCTGTACATTTGCCCATTCTGGCACTGGAAATTGGTATATAAAAATCTTAAAACCAGGAAAACCAAGAAAGGCTGACAAATGCATGTTGCCCACTGCCTTTAATGTCACAGTTTTAGACCAAGTTCATCTTATGTTGAGCTATTTTTGTAAAAGCTTGAAAAATAAGTTATGTGAAATCTTGTGCATTATTGTTAAGACATGCTTGTGTTACGAATGACTTTCAAATTTTAGCTTGATATCCTTGAAACTGCCTGAATTGCAGCTGTTTTGTATTGTATCAGCTGTTTTATTTCAAGTTTTATTCAAATCTGGTAGTAGTTTATATGATATTTTGCTAACTGACAATTTACCTGCAGCCAGAAAAAGGGCTTCTTGTAGTTTAATGTGGGGATTTCTACTAGATGTGGAAACAAAACAAGTGTTCTACAGGCAAGTTGTTTTGTCAGGACTAACAGCAGCAATATTAAAATGCATCGAGACATTACTTTTGTGTTCAGCTCTCACCTCCTGACCATCTTTGCTTTGCCGGTCATGAGCATGGTCAGCCACTGTGTAAAGAAACTCCAGCAGGCGATGAAATGTGTCACTGTTGCATGCTGGGAGYAGGTAGATCAGGAGCTGAGTGGCAATCTGCTGTTCGTCTGTGTCTAACACTGCAGTACATATGGGGGTAGAATAAGGAATGTTGCAGAAAAAAAGCAAAAAAAAAATGAAACCTATAGGAACAGAGGCTCACATGTGGTGTTAATAAAAGCTGTGTAGAGCTCCTTGGTTAGGAGAGGGTCGGGCATGTCCCTGAGGAACTCCTTCAGCAGAGCTGCCACATCGTGAACGCTGTGCTCCTCATCTAACTGGACGTCGATGCCACGATCAAATTCCTCCCGCAGCTGAAGGAAGCAAAGTCAGAAACATCTTTAGCACAAAAGAAATAGTTTAGTAGTGAACACACCCACACACCACTCCATTCTGTTGGCTCTCCAAGTGACCCGGAAGAGTCTGCTTTCAAACTCCTTCAACCGGAACAGATTGTAATCTTGACTGTCCAACCAATCATTTGGACATCTCCCAGACCACAATGATAAACATTTTTAGAAGTCACTCCCTCCTTCACATGAAAGCAATCATATTAAGGAGATATATTCTGATAAGTTATTAACAATCAAAGTTATTTTTAAACCAGGGATGGGCAACTTGCAGCCCGCGGGTGACTTCCGTCTGACCCAGCTCTTAGGACTTAGATTCTAATTCCTCAACAGCAGCTCTTATAAATACAAATTATACAATTTCAGATTTCTTTAACAAATTATTTTTTTATCATTCTTTTAAACAAATTAACTGAGCCAGAATTTTTACAGTCATTATCCAGAGTATTCTATTATTGTATTCCTTGGACTGAAGTACATCTGTCATTTAAATTTGTTTGAATTTTACATTTTACAAACATTTCTAATCCCTTAAGATTATAACAACTTTCYCTSTTAACAAAATGTGATTGGATGTTCAAACGTAATATGTTTTTATGAGCCTTATTCATAACCTGCAAAACATTATAAACAGCCAACTCATTGAACTTCAATAATTTCAACTGATAAAATAATGCATTTGACRGGTGAATGTAATGTTTTCTGGTAATAATTCTTAAAGCTCTTTTCTGCAAAATAAAAATAGGATTTGTTACTATTTTACATGCTTTCCCCTAAACTTCAACACAACAAATCAAGTGTGGAACAATTATTGCATTATATAATATAAACAGTGTTTTATACTCCTTTACTTTACATAATCCTGCAATGATTTAGCTACTTTTTTTTCTTAAATAATTTATGTGAAATTTCCATGTCAGCTTTTCGTCAATGATGACTCCCTAAAACTTCACCTCACTGACTCTACAAATCTCAACACCATCGACTATAAATTAAATATTGACAGTTCTTGTTATGTGTTTATTTTATGTTTGCTTCAAACAATTTGTATTTATTAAATGAGTACAATGGTAAAACATGCATTTGAGCATGAACTGTTACTGCACTGCATGTTGGTTTAACACACACACACACACACACACACACACACACACA